ACCTGTAAATAAGTGAACAGGAGCAAAAAAAATTATTTCACTAAAAAAAACTAAGTTAAACAGGTGTCAATAGTAAACTCTTTAACAGAGGGATTCAGGAGTCCTCTGAGCATCTTACCTCTCCTGGAGGTGAGTCTGAGACGAGGCTTTAAAGTGGATGGAGTAAGACTACCAGATGCTCCTGAATCGAGACTGCTATGCACAGTGCCACGCACTGAAGCTTCAGTAGCCACCCCCTCAGAGGAAGACCCAGCCCTGCCAATAGTTATTGGTGTGGCAACAACTGCAGAAGAAGAGAAGGCGGAGTCAGATGAGATGTCAGAAGCGATGGATATAGAAGAGGAGGAGAAGCCGGCCAAGTGGGTGGTGTGTTGTTTCAGATAGGGAGTAGGAACATAGCCCACCTTACCAGTAATCTGACTAGCTACTTTCCAAAGCTCAGGATCTCTGTAAGGCAAGAAAGAGTAACATGGAGTAAGAGAATAGAAAATCGAAATAATAAAATATTATTTAAAACTATGGGGTTGATTTTAAAATGAACAGGCTAAACAGGCCTTGGACGGAAGCATACGCTTATTTACTCGAAATCAGATATTTTATGAGCAGCTCTTACGCAGAGACATGAACCTAATTCTAATCTGTATTTCGGAAATACACCCTACACTATTAGAAATAATAGTGCGGAAGCAAAGGGCGCAGTTGGCCTAAGATATATATTTGAAATTTTAATTTTAAGACAGTCTTCATCAAAATTTAGAAAAACTTACATCAGAATTAAAATGTATCATAATTTTTTTAAAATCATAAACTTATTTAAACAAAGAGTATAAAGCTTACTTTTTGCTCAGTACACACACCAACTCGCCAGCTTTGAGAGCAAGGCGTTGTCGAAATGAAGAATGTAATTCCGATTTAATCAATTCGTTATGACGCGTAGATTCGAAATCCCTACCTTGGTTCAATTCCTCCATCGCACGTAGGTCATTCGAAGGGCGGTACTCGGCTAGAGCACGCCAAATCTCTGGGGCCAAGCGAGGCAGCATACCTTAGGAGAAGAGTAAGGTTTTACATAAACAATAAGTAAATATGTTAAGAAATAGGATAAAATAATAAAGGAACATCTGAAGTCGGATTCACATTATTACGATCAGAAGCTATAGTCAATCAATTTTCATTCAGCCTAAAAATGTCAAGTGAAATCGATTAAGAGATTCCGATGAGGTGAATAAAAAGTTGCGGTTAAGCTATTATTATTTATAAACGATACTTGTTAAGCGAAGATCGGGTTTAACAAAATTATTGGACAAGAGACGATCACATATCAAGGTGTATCTAATAGAGTGCATTCATAATAAAATGAGAGATGAATGGGCATTAGCAGGACAATTTCGTAGTAAAATAAGAAGAAGAGAAAACTAAAGCAACATATTTTAATTTCGAAAAAAGTGAAAAATACTGTAGATTCAAAGTTCAAGATGGCGTGACTTTAATAGCAGTTTCCTTTAGCTATATAGAGTTGGGCTGACTTCGTTTTCACAACTTTATCGGGTATAAAGGGAGACTTGTCTTTTTGTCAAGTTGTTGATCGATGCTAAGGACGGCACTCCTCATTAACGATAACAGTTGAGCATTCGAAAATGTATCAGGTCAACGGTCTAAGCAAGATAGCAGTTGACGCAGTACTGGATACATTCTACAATGTACATATGCCATCCCGACCAAGTTGTGAAAACGATGTCGATCCAGCTATAAACAAAGAACACGTTGTTTTGCAAAATAAAATGTACGCCTACCAGCTGACATAAACAGTTTTATGTAGCAAGGAAAGAGAGCTGTAGATTATGGGAGCATCTCAAAGAGGTATATTTCTCGAAGCTTGCATCATCAGTGACAAAAAAGTTGTTTGTATCATGACGCCAAGAAAATATCATCGAAAGCCTAATTTCAG